TCGACGAATTTTTCAGAAGCTCGGTGGGCTCGTCTTTGCATTGTAACACAACGCGTACGTAGAATTAAAATTGCACTTTTGTATAACGGCTAGCCTCCTGGGCAAGTGTCCATGAAATTAGTCGGTCATCTCATCCGGTCAACTCATCCTCATCCGGGATAGAATAATAGAATGAAAATCGTTTCATTATTCCTATCGGTTCAGAGAACTAGGTATAGTTTAAATTGCTGTGTTAGTTTACTTTTTCCGGCGTTTCAATGTTTATCTACACGCTCGAAATCGCTTTTATCCGTTCGAATATGTACCCTGATTTTCCTGCCATAATTTTATGAAATAATACTTTGAAACGCTACGTGAAACAACAGACACGAGGTGGACACATTTTTCATTTGAAATAGTCTTTTAAGGTCTTCTTGTTCGTATCATTTTCAGCTTCACCGATTCAAAACAAAATAAGGATATATATAATTCTGTGAATAATTGAAATTACGAGTAAAGTTACGTATTTCGATAAAAACTTGGCGCGGTATCGTTTTTCAAGAATTAAGTTTTCCTCGGAAAATTATAGGAATTGACATTGGAAGTTAATATTGGAACAACATTCAGTGGATTATGATAGTATGGGATAAACAATAACAGACTACTGAGAACCGTGTGTTTCCTTCGATTTCCAAGTAATTTTGTATCAACATATTTTGTATTCGCCTCTTTAACGATAATAAGATTTAATCTATGGTGAAGAAGGTAGTTTGCTGGACAGCCTGTTACGGGAAAGACAGGTTCCTTCGGTCGATAAACAGACAACGAGTACCTTGCAGTCGGTAGGTCGGAGTGCGAAAGGTGTTTTCAAATTTATTTCTATCTTCGTCAATCATAAAAGCATTTGGTTACAATACTCATAGCTTCTGTACATCTTCATACATTTGCCTCTAAAAAGACCAGTCACTTCCCACTTTAAACACTCCATTCAACATTAAATTCACTCAGGATGAAGATTCGAAAAAGCTAGGAATTAGAAGAAAATCGTTGCAAGATAACGCTGCGTTACAAGATAAAAGGGAACGATAGACGCGTGGAAATATGCGGTGGCATTGGAGAGTAATCGGGCAGCAGCTCAAGGACTGTTAATATACTCGTTTTATCCGTGTTTTCCTAGGGAACACGCGGGCCAGGATACGGACCGCGTTCAATTCTCTATTTTCATTCCAAGCTGGGCCGAACAATGGGGGATCTAAATTGGGCAAAAACCAGTCTGCCGTCTAGTTGGGCGAGGGTAAAGGCGTTATGGCACAGCCGGTAACAACCGCATCGGCAGCCAGGGGTCCCACAATGAGGTACCCCGTCAAGGTAGCAGCCAATGCCCAAAATCACTCGTCGCTGGCCCAACGGTTCCTTTTCCGTGGCCCACGAATAGCTGTAGCACTGGGTGAAAGTGGTAATTAACGACGTGCGTCAGTGGTATGTCCCACTCCTCCTCTATCGTCCCCGGGACTCTGTCGCGAATGGTTCATCGTACTCTTGACCGGTTATGACACCGCTCGCCTTTTTATTTATTCACCGTCTTTCTTTATCGCGCAACTTTTCGAGCTTAGGGTAAAGCAGGGCTATTTCAGTTACCTACGCTTCGACATCTTCAGATTCTTCAACTTCGCACGACATAATCAGACTCGTACATTTGGAAAGATGCTACGGTGGCATCTCGATTTTTCGAATACCTCCGCCATTACTAAATTCTGTCCTCTTTTTCTTTTTTTTTTTTTTTAACGTTGCGGCGATGAAAGGAAATTCCAGAGGTTTGTTAGGGTCGTACGGTTATATTTTTTGTATTCAAAGAAATCGAAGTGTCTATAACGTCGTGACAAGCTGCCGCTTGGTCCTTAATGATCGGCACGCAGACGATCACGTCCGTCCTAATCATCCTAATCGTATCCCAGGTGTGAATTCCATGTACGCTCTAATTAGTTCTTCATACTTTCCATACTTTGCATTTTTTCCAGTAAAACTTGCAGGTGTTGGTAAAGAAAGGGGATGGCGTGATAGGCAGGCAACGAAGTTTCGTCTTCTATTGTCAAACGTATCGACACGCTAATTTGTAACTGAACGACTCGTAAAATTTGTCACTACTGTTAGTTAAATCGTACAAGAGAATCCTGGTATGCCGGTACCTGCCAACGAACTGCACCATTGTCTACCAGGAACTTGACAATAATTCTGTTTCAATGTGCTAAACGGTTTGTCCAACCGTTTTATTGCGCGGATTGCCGAGGTAGTTATGACAGGCTATCTAAAAGGTCGGGATTATTTTTAGCGATTCGACCGACATGAATCGAGAATGGACGACAGGGTCGATACGCGCGATGTTGCAGCGCGGATGATAAGAAACCGAACTGCACATTTCCCTGCCATTTCGAACTTTCCTCGTAGCTGTACAATCGGCACACTGTGCTCTCTTTCTGTTTGCCTCGGAAATATGTACTGTGCGCCGGGTTTTAACAAGGATTTACCAGGTGTGCGTGGTTTCCAAGTGGCTGCAGTAGAATTCCAGGATCGATAGGAGGAAAAACGATTAATCTTCCGTGCATTCGGTAGATTGATAAACGCGTTTTTTGTCTCTTGCTGTTAGTGTTAGTACGTTTAAATTAACAGCGTGTTATAGAGCTAAAAGCTAACAGCTACATCTTTTGGTACATGCAAGGTATATACGCGATATAAGTATTTAATTAAATACGTTCAAACTCTGTTTCCTTTGCAAAATAATCTTCCGTTGAAGATTCGTCTAGCCCCGTCTCTGAAATTGGCCATGTTGGGAAATATTTTATAAATTTTCAAACTTGATTTTCTCAAACGCCAACCCTCCGATGTAATTTTCTCGTTTCTGTCTTTTTCTCTATTTTCAACTATAGAGACATTACGGCCTTACCTGTGTCACAAATTTAAGCCCACTGTTTGTACAGTGCATTAAATTACATAGGTTTCTTAGTTTTTCCAGAATGTCCACAAAGTATACGTTTGCTTGAAACGGCCGCCCGTAAAACGAGACAATAGTTACTTTGTCGGTTGACATTGAATTCTGGCTATATAGCATATAACGGAACCCGATTCCCTTCCATTTCTAATGTTCCACTTTATTTCGTGAAACATACTGCTTTATTGCCTTCTCTAATTTCAGTGCCCGCATTAACCGTCGTATCTTAAATTCTATTATTCCTCCATCGAACTATCTTTATTAGTACAATCCGACGATTTAACGGGCAACGTTGGCGGAAAATTGATTTTTGCCCAGAGTTTTCCAATTAGTCACGCGTTTGCCAACATACATGGAATCCAATTAAAAACGGTCATTAGGATGATGAGCGGACATTGATTCATCGCACGGTAGAGTGCACTTCGTATGCATATTACAAGTAATGTAAAATTCAGCTCAGTAATAGAAAATCATTCAAACGGTCAAAGCGAGATTTCAAGTCTGAGAATGCAAGATTACAAAAATAACGTTCGATCGTTCTGTTTGTCAACAAGTTACGAGTTTAATAAATAATTTTTTTTTTTTTTGTAAGCTCGCAATGATCACCTATTGGAAGGCGACCGGTTTGCAAAAAGAGCATGTTACTACCTTTCAGCTGGAAATACTCGTGAGTTGGTGCAAACCGCTTGAATCACCACTGACGCACATGAAAATGCTCATAATCGTCATACAGTACACCGCATTTAGTCACACGCAGATGCGCGAAATGATTTTTTCCTCTCCCTCCCTGTGTGTTACACGACCAGTGACGTCTCGTTTAATCTCGACGCCGAATATGTATCTCTTAATTAGAAAAACGTCGCGTCGATTACGCTCGAAGCATAGAACGTTCAAATGGACCGTGTTATTTACATCCGTCGAAGGATGCACGGAAATTTACAGAAATGAAAGACCAAAACTAACGAAGGGATCGCGGTGAAATAGGAATAAAATACAGGCGTAAAAACAACGGACACGCTACCATTTCAACCGGATTCCCTAATCCGACCAAACGGAATACATAATAAAATACGCTCCTAAAAGTCTCGCCAGGTCGAACAATCTGGCTTTTTTAAAATTCCTGACATGTATACTACCGCTCATAAGTATTAGGACACCTACTTACATTTATCGGGAAGACTCCGACAAAATTTATTTCATTTGGTATTTTATCTGGCTGTGTAATAGGTAGATCGAGAATTTCTATGCATTTATAAGAAATTTGAAGACGCAGATACGTACAAAATGCATATAATATCCAAAGACGTATAAAATATCCAAATGTACTTGATACGTTTGGATCTGATTAATTAGTATGTAAACGCCACGATAAATACCATTTTCACATCTTTTCTTCGCACTTTAGCAACGTAATCACGACAGTCGGCTCTCGTTGCAGTCGCAATGAAATTTCTAAATGTTTCGTATAACGCGCAACGATATATCCATAAGATATCTGTACGAACGTTCGAATATTTTCCTCAACTACCGTATCTGTATTATTCGTAGCATTGGTATAGTCGCGTTGAGTTGCTGTACTCTGGAAATTCGAGCGCTGAAGGGAAGGGGCGTTTAGGAAACCAATGGCCATGGACGCCTGCTGCTTGCCCTACGAAGGGCACCGACCATAATGGCCCGTCCCTGAGTTGGAGAGTCTACCGGCCCATTCCATTCCGGAGTCGTCGTCTCTCGCGTACATCGGCCGCCGCAGGAAGCATTCCATTCATGTTTCGGGACGCGCAACGGACGCTGATCGGAAGACAAGAGAGAGGAAGAGCCGGATAACCGGGACTCCTCGCGAGGGTTAACGCTGCTTGGCGCCACCGTCAGGAACAACGACCTGCCGATATGTTGTCGTGATGACAATCGGCGCGTTAACGTGAGAAACCAAGACCACGTGGAGCAATCTTGTTATTTCCAGAGGTGGATTTGACCGTGTCTCGACGCAAAGGAACATTTTCGCCGCAGAAACGTTCAATCTTGGTGCGTTCTCTTTAATTAAGTAGCGTGCGTGCATGTTGGCGAGTGACAGTGACTCGAATTGAAAGTTTATTCGACACGCGGACAATGTCGATTTCGCGCCTAACTTTGTGCAACTTCTTCTTTAAATTTCGTGGAATGTACGCTGCATGCAACGATCGTGATTTCGTAAGTCCTCGTGGCTTCGTCCCTCTGTTGTTTCCCCGTTTGCTTCCCGTCTCGTTTCTTCCTCAGCGTCGCTTCCTCTTGCGACGGCTACCTCTCGTTTTCTCTTCCTCTCTTTCGCCGCTGTCCTCTGTCGAAACTCCAAGACAAGGGAAGTGCGCTCGAAACAAACGATAGATAGGATTTTTAATAACTCGTAGAGACGCCTGAACAGCGAAATATTCCACCAGATTCGTTGCATCTACTTGAACGTTCTTCTCGAGCGTCACTAACGAGTGGCAAGCTCGCAATACCCTACTACAGACTCGTTGAAAGCCTGCCCTGAAACGATAATTTTCCACGAATGAAGTTCATGTAAAATATTAAGTAACGATAGCATTACGTGTTTCTGACGCATCTTCTTCTAAATCGCTATTACAAAGAATAACGAGCATGAATCACGATGCATGTCCTGTATGAAACACAGGCGTTACGCGTGAGGTGTAACGAGTTTCCAGGAAGGTTTCTAGTAATTCGTAAGTCATCATAGGGGTGATATAAAGTCGAAGGAAGAGGCGGTCGTTCCGTCAATGGGTAAATTGGTGAGCTTGCCGACGCGCATTGGGCATCCTGGTAACGGGCGCGTTGCGACGCGACGCTACGCGTCGCAGCAACGTGTCTCACTCTATTCCGTAGAACCTCCCTCTCCGCGTGCATACGGATAAGCCGATCGTGGCGGCAGGAGCGTTGGAAGGGCCAGAGCGGCAGCTGTCGGTAGCGGTCGATGGGAACGGGGCTCGATCGAGGTCCGCTCGAGAGAGTTGGGCCTACTTCCTCGAGGGCTCGGCAACGACTAACTCTGTCTGCTAGCCGTATGCGTGTCCGTCGGTCGTGTCAGTACTTTTCAGGTCGGTCCACAGTGCAGTCGTCGGCTTACCATCGAGTTTCGACTAGCACGGCCGCTCGGCTGCACGACGATTCGTCGAGTCGCCGTTGGGTTACGCTCGCGAGTGGTCGGCCGTGTGCTCCTCCTCGTGCAACGCGGCAACCGGAGTGTCTCTCGTGCATCCTGCATCGTTTCTATCGTACCGCTGTAGTGTGCAAAGCGAAGCTCGTCCGTGTGCTCTCGCATCTCTTAGGACACGAGACGCTGAGAGAGAGAGGAACGTAGAGGGAGAACACAAAACAGCATTCGTTAATACCCGCTTCCGGCACGTGGAACCGCACCGCACTCTGTTTTTCTTCACAGCGCATCGCTGCCGTCGCTCCGAGCTTCTCTCGTGGGAGGTCAGCACCTAGCCGGTGGGTAAGTGAAGAATCCACGCTCTCGCTGGAACAGATAGTACACCTTTCTGAATAGATCTTCGTCAGGATACACATAACCTTTTCGAATAGCCAATTCGATTACGCACTTGTGCGCTTTACGGTGACGATTTCACGTTGAACACACGCACGCGACACTTGTTGCACGTCGTTTTTTCTGTGATTCGTGATTACAACAAATTTCATATGCCAGTTACAAGCGAGATTTTTTGACGTTTTAGATACATTGTGAGACATCATTTTTCATAGGGGATGAAAAACGTCGGTTGGATAGGTGGTTTTTATGCGTCGATTAATAACGATGCTGTTTCTTGATTTCCTCGAGGTTTTTCATCGTGAGAACTTTTGTTACGTTACGGTAGCATATCTGTGAAACGTGAGAACGTGGAATGTCGCGACACGTGAAGATAAGGCAAGAGTCAACCACTTACTGGCGGGGGGGGGTCCCCC